TTCACCAGCAGACGAGACTGAAGGCCTTCCACTTGGGAACTGCGGTTTTTGGTCATCACGCCTCTGTTTGCAATACCACAGAGCGTGGTATCTCCTGTCTCCAGCTGAGATAACTAAAATGTAAGTGCTCACTCTCCCAATCTGCAGGAAACTGATGTAGGCAAAAGGGATTGTGATGATTCATTTACTTCGTATCTCAGAGCCCAACAGTCTTTCCCCAAGATCGGCACAAAAATGCACCTTGCCACCCAGCTAAATATTTGATAAAAGTTAAATACAGCCACCTGTGATTGATGCTTCTCCTCACATAAGCACTCCAGCCACAATCTGGATAATGACTAGCATTATTAAAGCATCAATTATCTTTAGAGCAAGCAGAGCTACATTAGCAGGCCTACAGTCTGCTCATTTTGATAAGGTTTGCTCCATTCATTTATCAACAAACGGAGATACCAGCAGGCCACGGAGGCTGCAGGTTTTAACTCTGTCAGGATGGAGCTGGCATTCACATCCTCTGTGCATGCACCATCAACCAGAGCATCCTGGCTGTCGGGGTTTGTTTCTCAGGGAGAGGAAGGTTGGCACCACGGCCCCTGAGGAACCAGCAGTCATCGCTGGCAGACACCCTTCAGCTGTGAAACACTCTGCGAGTTCCCTGCGTCCCAGCGGGGTGACAGCGCTCCGGGTACACAAGCAAAGCAGCCAGCGAGCTCAGGCTTGCTGCTGAGCGCGTGATGTTCCCAAACAGCTCGAGTTTTGCTCCGCTCATGTGTGTGGGATGGCGGCTTAGAAAATTACGACAAGCAAGCAAGCAGAGAGCGTATGGCCAGCTTCAGATATAACCAACCCAGCTCGCAGGTGCCTTTCACCAGCTCTGAAGAGAAGCTTCCCTCCTTTCCTCTCTCGGCTCCATCTACGCACTCCAGCTTTCTCTTTTTAGCAGTGTAAGCATGGCCCACGGACAGGGCTAAGAAACTGCAGAAAAGCAATTCTTTTTATTAACAGGCCTAAAGTTTCCTTTATAAACTACACTAAGATAAACTCTTGACTTATTAATAGCAGTAAATCTCCAAGTCCAATAGACTTCAGTTAATGAATATTGATTATGATAGTGCTAGAGAAGGCTGATGTCAGTCGAAGTGACATCCTGTAACCCCTCTTGCTCTCATTCGTTTTTCAGAACCATGTAGTGGGAAACACAGTGGTCATGGCTGCACTGCAGCTTTCGCCTTCCCAGGGCTGGGAAAGTGCCTTAACCTTAACAGCAGCTGGTCAGAGGGGCAGGCATTTCCTCCTGCGTTATTTTGAGCCCTCAGGAGCCTGGTGATCTGGCCCTCTTGGGGCTAAGGCAGGCTTTATCAACTCAGTGTCCAGCTCCTGTACGCCGAGAGGAGCACAGTGCAATTCGGAGGAGCAGAGGTGGACTCCCAGGTGGTTGGGAGGACAGGCAGGGGACAGCTGTCAGGCAGCTCCTAATACCACTTGAGGTAGCTGAACGTATGGTGTGAAGTGAGAGGTATTTTACACGCACGAGCCTAATTTCTTGGCGGACCGCTGCCAGCCCACAACCAAGCGTACTCACGTCCCGCAGTGCTGGATGAGGACAGGCACTGACTCTGCCCCAGAACAGAGATCCCTCTACTCGGGGCGAGCCTGCCCCAGGCCTCTGGCTGGCATTTGCACTTTCTATTTATGGATGATAAATCTACACTTGCCTCTATCCCCCAATGAACACCTTAAAAGTAAGAATCTAAGCTGATTAACACAAACACCATGGTCACCTGGACCTTTGACTCACAAGACAAGTCTCATCATACTCTTGACGAGCAGCTCTATCTTTTACCTTCAGGCTGGGATGACTTTGAATGGCCTTTAAATGAATGAAAGCTCAGGAAAATAAACCAAAGGCAGTTCATTGCAACACAGAGACCTTATCGCTATCGTCTGGTGAGGGAATGAGGCAGTGACGGGTGGGGAGGCTGGGGGACTATGTCAATGTTTTCATAAAACTATCTTTTATGCTCTCTGAAATAACCCAACAACAACAACAAACCCAGAACAGCCCTCTTCCCCCTCCCCACATCTGATAAACATCAAATAATAACAGGAGTGACTTATGCACTCTCTGCCTGGTACTTCAATCTGGCCTTCCAGTTAATACACACTATGATTAAAGCATCTATAATCTGCAGTCTGTGGAGACCTGTAGAGCAGCAGCAGCAGCGGGTGTGCAGCCTGATAAGGGTTGTTCACTCAGTGCAGATGAAACTTTTAATATTTATAACTGCTGATTCTTTTTCCTGATGCCTCCCATTGAGGGGAGAGGGGTGAAAGTTTAAAGATAAAAGCTTGATGAAAGACCAGGTGGAAAGGTGTTTTTTTTTCCCAAGGACAGGCAGGGGCTTAAATCTATCTCCACCTAAGAGGTGGTTTAAGAACGCTGCTTAGGCAAGCACAGCATCAGAGATGGGGGATGAAGTCTCTGGAAGACCTTCAAGGCTTGTCTAAGGAGCACCCAGGCTTTAAGCTGTAAACTCCTCTGAGCTGTCTGCGGTTTGTCTGGGGCTGTGCCTGGGACTGCTGGGCATCACCACAAAATAATTAAGTCACACCAGGTCAGCTGCACACACTTTAAGTAAAGCACTAACGGCATTTCCAGCTCAGCACTGAAATACACCAAGAGATCCAAAAATGCACTGTGTTATCCTAACTCTCCATCTCAACGTCAGTAGGAGCCGCAACGGTTAGCACACAGGGCACTGGGAATCCACTTGAAAAAATAAATTGCACCTTTACTCCAATCAAGTCACCGTTAATTGCAGTACAGTGCTTGAGATCCACAACTGGTGAGACATTGAAGATGCTGGTGCCTTCAGAGTCTTCCTCCTGGAAAAAAGCAAACCCCTCCACTTCCAGTAGCATCCCTCCCCCAAGTGCATTGATAACATTTTAGTCTGTGGGCATCTGGCCCCAGAGATACAAGGCTCTGCCCACAAGGCAGCAGCAGGCCCTTTCACTAGGCAGAAGCTGCTACTTTCCACTACTCCCCAGCAGCTCAACCTGCTCCAGTATAGGGCACAGCCCTTTGGATGCCACGTTGACAGGAAGACTGCTTACCCTCTCTCCAGATAGAGGAGCCCAACCAAACTCCCTCATTTTCAACACCACGAGACCTGGACCTGCCGCATGCCCAAATGGTTTAATATCTGTGCACTAAAAAAAGACTCCTAACACTCCTGCAGTGTCAATATTATGAAAGATATGAGTTACATTGCCCATCAGTAATTTCGGACAGATATAACTGGGCCAACCTGACTAAAACAAAAAGATGCAGAGAAAGGTATTCAATATATATATTTGTTCATTTCAATATTCAATAGATTCATTCGTTTCGTCTGAGAGATGATACACTTACATACTTCTTTCAAAGGTAGCTATGTGGTCCTCATTACTACAGCATCAGAGCACTTCAAAATGTTTACTAAGCACATACATACAACACACAGATGATATAGGGAAATACATTTTAGAGCTGAAATACAAGGCTTGAATGAACCTGAGCTGAGGTCTCTCAAGTTCCAAGTTACCATCTCAGCCATTCTGCCTTCCTACCACAGATACCAGAAGTCAAAGCAAAAAAGAAAAGTAGGCTGGCCAGGGAGGAAACAGGATTGCTTTTTCACCAGAGAACAAAGAGTGAGACTTGACTTTTTTTTAAGCAAAAAAATTGAATCCTGAAAAACACCCCACCTAAATTCAAAAGCATCAGAAAAAAAAAAAAAAGAAAGAAAGGTAGAGCTCTATACTCTGAGGACATGTCCATTGTTTGGAAAGCATGAAGAAAACTGGATGAAGAAAACATAACACTTTGTGTCTCCAAGACAGCTGCAGTTTTCCTTGACTTAAACAGACTTGTCTGCCAGAAATTAGATTTCTTGGCCTCTGCTTTCTTGACTGTATTTTTCTCCTCCACAAAATATGATTTCAAAGTATGCATGCAGAGTTAAAAAGTCTAATGAGACAATAAGCTGTTGAAAATTATTATGAAAGATGAGTCCTGAGTGAGTTTATCTGTGTTCTTAATAAGGAGTTGATCTCAAAACCTGTTGATCTCTTAAAAGTTGTTTGGGTTTTTTTTTGGGGGGGGACAGGACAGGACACGACCACACAAAAATGAACAAACAAAACCTACCAGACAGAATTTCTGCATGACTTCTGGAACTATATGGAAAAACTGAATTAAAACTGAATTAACAAAACCATCTAGTATCAGTGGACTAGTTAAAACTAGCACCTGGATACACACTGGCCAGAGCTCCTACAACGCTTGCAGGCTGCAAGCAAAGCTGCATTAAGCTGCTTATCACTCTGAAGCAAAAATCAAGGATTAGACATGCCTCCCACTGCACATCAGTTGGCCTCCCTAGCTACGGCAGTCACCCGGATTATGCTCATTTCCAAAGCCCATGAGCATTTTGAATTAAGCAACCTGTACATGAGATGGATGTACATGAAGGAACATCAGCAAGACCTCACAGATGAAATTACTGCACATCATCTACGAGCTGTTTTTGACAAACCTGAGTTTTCAACGCCTCGAACATGAGAGTGTTAAGACAAGTATTTAGAAGCTAAACATCTCTCTGAAGATGCGAGTTCAAAAGTATATATAAAAATATAATTAGAATATCATCATGTGTTTACAGCTATGTATTAAAGTAACTTCTACAAACAGGTTATCAGCTCTAGTATGAAAGTAACGCATCTGAAAAATAAGAGCAGTAGTCAGAGACCGCACTCCCCCTCGGTCCCATCGAATGGCAGCAAGATGGTTTGTCAACGCAGTCATCAATCACGGCCAGCACCAGGAGATTTGGGGAAAAGGGCTGGAAACCAGCAATGACTAAGTCCAGAAAAATTTGCTCTGATGGAAAATCCCTCCCAAATATCAGGCAGCAACATGCGAGTGTAAGAAACAAGAAGCAACAAAGTCCATCCATGGGTAGTGGCAAAGGTCATCGAAGAAGGCTGCGCTCTTCTCAAGCAGTCCAGCTCTCATCACACGGAGATACTTCAAAGGCAGAACTGCTGAGCACAATGCGTGAGCTTTGTGCACGTCCCTACGATCAGTCAGTTGTACATATGTGTTTATAAGAGATCACGTCAATCTAAAGTGAAGTGCTCTGCAAAAACATCATTTTTCTTCCCAAACAAACCTCGTACTTGCTCAAACTCCAAGGGCACATCAACTGCCTTTTTCTTTACTTCTTTATCAAAAAGCTACGAAGAAAAAAATAGAAGATAGTGTCAAAGCTCAGTACAAGCTCTTCACCCTAGCTGATACCACTGCTCACTCTAACCTCTTAAAAGATCCAGCAATAAACCTTTTATATAAAAAGCCATCGCTGTCACCACTGCTGCCTCATGCTCCATTATTTAACAGACATTTTCCTGTTTTCCCTGGCTCTGCATAACCAAGAGTCAGTCTAGCTCCCTCCCCAGCAGCAAGGATGACGAACAGGACACAGCTACTGTGCCCAGGAAACAGTCTCCTTTCCTCTGGTTCCAATCATTCCCAAAAGCACAGCAATGCTACCTCATACGCTGAGAGCTCCAGGAGCCCTGATATGTCATCCTCCATTTCAGACAGTGACTGGTTCAGGACAGCAGCTGCCTTGGCCACATCTGGGTGATAATGGTTTTGTAGAGACTGCAAAAGCAAGACAAATAGGAGATGGTCTAATAAGTACAGGGTAACCCACATCCATATGGATTCCCACACAGGTATCTGCCCCTATCTTGGTCAGATCTTCACTGAACATCAAATTCTGGCAGAGGCAGTTTGCTGTACTGCACTCCTAGAGAGCTTCAAGAAATCCTGATTTCAGCCATCTTTCAAACACGCCAAAGGTCGCTCTCACTTGGCTCACATCCAGCTGAAGCCAGACGGACTCCTACACAGGCCGTGCCAACAAGGCATAACCCCGTTCTGCGACCTCCCGCAGCCCTGATGCTGCATCCCAGCTCCTGCTCTCTGGGCTTCCTGCTCCTGCACAACATTCTGGTTGCTGCTTCGGCCCCTTACACAAGACTCTTGTAGCATTTAAATGGAAAGCGATAATCCTAGCATTAAGGTTTTAGAACCATCAGGAGTAATTTAACCAATTTCAACCCTCACGCACCGTCCTACAAACGATCCAGGTGAAAGGTGAGTGTTACAATCTTCTCTAGCATTTTTAAACCCATTTCTACAGGATGACCTAGCTGTACCCAATTCATTTCCATCAGTGCTCGGCAAGTTCCTCTCTCCCTCCCAAGGCAAATAAAAAGCCTCATACATTTGCAGCTATTTAGTCCGTTTCAGCTGTTAACTGCACGCTTTTCAGCTGCACAGTCAGATGCGTGCCCACAAGTCACCTACTAATTAGCATGTACGATTTCTCCAGTGTGTGGAATCCTTTGCCTCTTATGCTAGGATAGAAAAGGATGCAGAATAAACGATCTGCCAGAAACTCATCTCATTTGCAAGACGTCTGTCAGCAAGTTCTTGTAAGCAGGACCACCCACTGCCAACATGTGTCAAGGAAACAGCAAGGGTGGAAGAAGCCTGTACCAGATGCAGATGTTCCTTTTTAGCTGACGTACCTGAATCTCCCAGAGCGAGCTCTCCAAAGCCCTGCTTTCCGATGGCTCCTCCTCCTCCATAATATATGGATCTTCTGACATACCTAAGGAAACAGAGATACAGAGTTAATACCTTCTGCATGATGTACATAACCCCAAAGGGAACACACAGACCCAGAGCAGTGCTGCAGCCAGAGCTGCTCCTTCCCAAGACATTTAGGTCCAGGAACAAGCTGACACATCCCAGCACGACCCAGGAGTTGCTGTTTGCAGGACTACAGAATCATATTAAAGAGCACAGGAAGCAGGGCACAAAGAACTGCAACAGTCTGACGCAAAGGGCATCTCGATCAACTCTGAATGTTCACTACTGATGTTCAACACTTCTCAGTTACATCAGAGAGACAAAGTAAAAACTCAGGGGACTGCTGAGGCCCCTGCGGGGTCACCTACAGACTGAAATGGAAGAGGTCTCTGGTTTCTGCATTAATTTTCTTCTCATTTCTTGAGGTGAACAAGTTCCACGTGTGGCACAGGTCCCCCCAGCCCTTTAGTGCTTGTACGTAGCCTGGGTCAGCATGCAGGCTCAAAGCAGCCTTCTTCCAGGGAATCACAGAGACAGGGGAGCCAACTGTGAGGCCTAAGGTCAGAGATGAGCAACGCAGATGGGTCTTCAGTCAGAAAACTCGCAGGAGCAGCTTACTGGCCTACTCAAGAGACAGAGGGATCCTCTCAAACCTCAGAACTGGGGCTGGGATTTCCCCTCCTCCTCCTCCACAGGAATCCTGCTCTTTATGATGTCTAAAGGCATAACACAAAACTCCCCTGCCCACCTCCCCTCTTACCTTCTGGCCCATTAGGTCTGTGTACCAGCACTTTGCACGCGGGGTGCCTCCGAAAGAGATTACAGATGAAGGGAATGACCATGAGTAGAGCCTCGGGAGGAGCAGTGAGGGCCAGCCGGGAGAGGCGCTTTATAAATGCTGCCACCAGGTACGCTGGCAGGTGACTGTTAAAGAAGACAGAAGAAACCCGCACGTAAAGGTCCTAGAAGCAAGCCAGCAGCCTCACCAATCCAAACAGCATGTCCGGTTAAAGATCAGTGGGGCTCTTCAGATTTTTTTTGGGCTATGGAGTAAAGAGAAGCTGTAAGAATCCTGGTTTCAAGCAGTAATATAGGGTCTTGTGCGGTCTCTGGAACAAATCTGGGGGCATTTCCATTCAATGCATGAATAATCTCAACTCATTTTGTGATTCAATCCAGCTGCATGGCACCACTCCAGGCACTTGCCATAGCCAAGCACAGCCCTTGTACATGGTCGTTCACATGGCAGTCTTTATTCAGTCATGTTATAAACATCTGAGTGCTTGGCCAGGCAACTTTAATTATGTTCTTCTAATGTCATTTTGTGGGTTTAATTAATACATGGGCCATGATGTTAAATTTACATAATACTTCCAGGACTACAGCAAGCAGCGCAGCTGTTAATGGGAACATAAAACTGCTGTAATGTAAGTGTGCAGGAGAGTTCTTTCTTTATGGTAAAAACACAAATTTCTAACAGCAACCAGCTCATCTAAGCACTTCCTTCAGGTCAGAAGAGCCGGGATGAACAATAATTTTCAGCTGCTCAGCCTTCAGCCCTAGGGCTCGCTACACCTGCGAGGCTCAGAAAAGCCACCCCACAGGACACCAACTGTCAGACTTTGTTACTCTCTCCAAAGTACACTATGAATACAAGGGGTTTGATATTAAGTGCCTAGTGCTGAACTGTAAAGTGTTACTCTTGGTTTATTCTATAACATATGATGGCAACTATATGACCAGCTGCTTATCTAGTTTCTTTCCTGTGTACAATGAATTGACAGCATCAAGACAGACTGTCAAACACATTTCAATGTTATGCGTCTGCAAAAGGTCATCAATTTATCAACAGCTTTATGATCTATAAAAAGCCTGCAAATGTTACTTTTCCATATTCATAAAGACAGACAGAAAAATCATCACTTTCAGCCAAAGTGGAATACAGATCAAAATACATCCATAATCATTTGCAGATCAAACTCAGATAACTAACTGCATTTTTACTTTCTGAAACTAGATGGCTGTGTGGCAAATCTTCAGAAACAGCACATGAAAAATTACACAACGCTACAGTAATACTCTTGGATTCAGTTTTCTTAGTAAAAATGAATCTAATCCCATAGGCACACTGAATACATTATATCCAGCCATGTGAGGGACTCTTCAAGAACAGTCTATGGCCAACAGAAAAGCAGGAAGAAAATATGTTCACATACATAATAAAGATGCTACTTACGATGAAGACAAAAACAGATCAGCCAAATGGAAAAAGCGGGCTCGGTACTTCACGTGATATATAGAAGGGTCTAAAAGACTGTACAGCTTTTTGTAAAAGTCAGGATATTCCCTGTTAAAAAAAGGAAAAAAGACAACATCCATTAGTGATGTACAACGGGACTACACTGTGTCTAAATGTTTCTGTGCTTTCATTATAGACTACCCCAGACCACTGCTGTGACACTGTTTAGCTTGCTTAGGCTTCTCTCTACAGCCACCACTTGAAAACAAGCTGTAAGGTGAATTTATGGCTCTTGCGGTGCCCAGCCATTTTCAGGATGTGAAGTCCATTGACAGCAAATGGTACAAGATCCAGTGAAAGGCACAACAAAGACTATGGCTTCGCTATGTAATCAGATCAATGGAAATCGATTTTCAAGTGCTGAGCAACCACAGTCTAAAGAAGAAGATATTTAGGCTCAGCTGAAAAAAAGGTCAGACTATCAAAAGAGCTCAGCATTCAAGCAGCTGAACCTCTTGTGCAGAGTGTGGCTTTCTCACAGGGGAATTTTAAAGCCTGAAGATGTGTAGAATCCATTTCACTTCCTTTCTATAAAGATATAAATGCAAAAATCCATGTTCCTTTAAGCAAGATGCTCTTTTCACTTACAGATTATGCTGATGAATCAGAATAAATAATCCATTTAAGGCTAGAAGACTGATTGCTCCTCCTGTAAGAAAGCAGGCGGGTATCAACACAGTAAGAAAATAAATAGCAGCTTCAACTTGTTTCTATCATAAAACCTTCCCACAAGGAACACAAAACTAAGAGTACCTGAAATTAGAGCCAGCAGGACGGCTGTACGGTAACACAATTTCATCTAAAACTATCCAAAGGCTCATATGTTACTTACAAAGATTAAGCTGTAGTTTAGAAGAACAGGCTCTGAAGGATTGAGACACATAAACATGCTGCTCTATCCCCCAATAAAGCCACACTGGGGAGGCAAAGGTCTCCCCAGAAAGGACATCTCTGTAGGAATCTGCGCATCCTGTGTCCAGACGCAGGCCAGGTATCAGCATTGCTGGCTGAACTCTATATTTAAAAGAAATCACTCCAGTGTTCTACTCCTCCCAAAGCCTTAAGTATGATATTCCTCACACACAAGGAGCAACAACACTGACAAACACAGGTAAAACCATCTCACTTTCAGGGACAACGGAGCTCACACTAGCTCCTGAGCTTCATCCCAGCCAAAAGTACATCTATTTCACCACCCAGGCCGTGGTGCTGCATCCAGCAGCCCTTCCAAGTCCATATGTACCATGCTGCAGAGCCTCACAAAGGACAAAAAGCCTGTTTTCACTCACCTATGCCATAGGCCACTGTCAGGAAGTCTATCATGAGAGTGGGCTCATTCATGTAAGGCAGGATGGAGTCATGCAGAATGACAAGAACTTTTTTGTAAAGGCCAGTGGGTAGCTGTGAAGGACAAAAAAAATACAGTGAAAGACATTGCAGGGAGAACTCAAAGAGCAACAGCAACGCATGGCTTGAAAAGGCAACGCACAAGCAAAAGGGAATGTGCGAGGGCAATACAGAATGGCTTGCAGCAACAGTTCCCAAATGGGAGAGTTCACAAGTGACACCTGACAACTAAGTTAATTCAAAGAAGCAGGTGCTCACAACTAAAAGTGTCATCACAGCTCACAGGGAAAGTCACCAGCAGAAAGGTTTGGGAACCTTCAACTTGCAAACAGACGTTGCTATGCTGCAGATCATTCCTTACAGGCAGACTTGTTTAAGGCAGGAAAAAAAAAAGGCTGAGAGTAAGGAGAAGCAGCAGACCGTACATGAGGTCATGTTTCTTGGCAGGAGAACAATCCAGCAGAAATGGTGACTGGGCTGTTCTCATCTGAAAATGAAAGCATAGTGGGGTCCTACCAGGAGCAATATGCAAGAACAGCCACTGCCTCCAACAATTACCACTGGAAGGCAATGCAGATCAGTGGCAGAAGTAACACTCACCTTGTGCTTCAAAAAACTGAGCCACATTTTTTCAAACGCCTGCTTGTGTGCCTTAAAACAGAATTGCAACAGTGAGTTAAACACATTGGTGTAGATAAAGCTCTATTTTAAGTAGATAAAGTTTCAACTCTAAAGTGCCTAATGAACAGTTACCTGCAGCTTCGACACTTTCAATTCCTCCCAGTTATCTAAGAAGAAAGGGAAAACAGATGTTGAACTTGAAATGGATGTTTAAAAAAATTAAGATGACCCTTTTATAGTTAGTCCTTTCGATACCCTAAAAATTCGGGCTGAAGTCCTTGTCTTGACACAAGGCCATGACAGACCTCACTGTAGACTGAGGAATGTGGATTTTGCAACACTGTTTAAAATTACCATGATCACAGAAGCAGACATTTTTCATTAGCAAACAATAATATTCTTTACACAATAAAAATCTTAAACCCGATTTTCCTTTTCATACACAGTTCATCACGCGGAGAGCTTACTAACCTTGCTTCACCATAAATTTGACCATGTCACTCTCTTTGTTCGGCATGTTAATGGGTGAAATGAGGGAAAATACGTTCTGCTGGTAAAATGGTAGTGGCCTCTGAGAAAAAAAGCACATAATCAAACATGAAGTAAGTTCCACAACAGATGGGAAGATGCTGGACTTCAATATTGTCCTATTTCCCAAGCACTGAATATATTCAGGAAAGAAAAAGGAAAGGAAAAATGCTGATGGATGAACTAGACACTGGTATATTTTCTGTTGCTGCCTTGTCCTGGAGCATTACTTGTTTGCCCAATGCAAAACCTATCTCTGAACTAATTCTGGTTTAACAAAACTGGTGGATCCAATTAAAGAAAACAGACTCCTCTTCTGCACCACAGAGAGAACAGACTTAAAAGTTCTGTGTGTGCCATCCCAGTTGAAAGATTTGGGTAAAACAGAAGCTAGAGCTCAGATCAGGTTTTGCAAGAACAACAGACAACTGAAGACAGCCTTAGCATAACTGGCAAACATTGTGAGCAAGAAAAAAAAAAAGAAATAAAAATCAATGCCTTCAAGTGAGCACACATTTCTCTTGCTTCCAAAATCTTTCCATATACCGCTAGTCCCTCCCTTCACGCACAAGATACACGTTTCAGAGCAGTTTATCCAGACCTACCTCAACCATAACAATTTGTTACCTCTTTTGTCTTCTGCATGACTTGTCCAATACTCTCAGTGACTGCCTTTATGACAAAGTACCGAATGTCATCATACTCCATGTACTCTTGAAAGCGAGAGATCAAGAGTGAAGCGTCCTCATTTAAGGGAAGTAAGCCATCAACAACTACCTAAACAGAAGGTTTGTAAAGTAAAGCAACAAGTCAGTCTCCTACAGTGCTGGAGCAGACGGGCGAGCTGTGATGGTGAAGGGCTCCTCCCTCTCTCTGAATGGCAGCTAGCACGGCTGTGTGCTGCCTGCCCCAGAGCAACATTCGCGAACCATTTTGACAAGCCCTCCTCACCTCCAAGATGGGCACCTTCTATCAGAGACAACGTCATTTAGAAATGACACAGTGGCTGAACCAGGGGCAGTACCTTCCCTCTCATCTCCCAATCCTTGCAGGTGAGGCCAGGGACTCCAAAAAAACACCCCAGAACTGGTACTTCATAAACACTCGGGAACCCAGCTCGAACCTGTACAAAGCAGCTGCTCCCACACCCGCAGGCATCACCTCACCAGGGACTGAAGCTCTAGGTCTCGGTGCTCTCTCTAGAACATCACCCTCCCTTCCCACTGAAAACCTCCTAGCTTGAAATTGTAGTCCTGGAGAATGCAAGCACACGAGGTCATGCATGCCACTGGGTAACTGACAGGAGGAACTTGTCAGTTCTGCAGCTTACCTTAAGAAGTTCACGAGGAAAAGTTAAACTCCCCTTCCACTCTACTTTGATCAATGGATGGTGTGCCTCCAACTCAACAAACTTCATGAGAGTGCAGAGGGACAATTCCTTTTAAGAAAAAAACAACACAAAAACCCCCACCTCAACAAGGACACCAGGGGTCAGACCCAAAGGAGGCAACTTCTACAGGGGGAAGAACAAACCAAGATGTTCTTCACTGAGAAAGCTGTGTGACTGCTAGTGGCAGGCTGGTGAGCAGAGGTGAGCCAGGGCACCAGCAAAGTCTTACAGCACTGCCTGCCCTCCCACTCCAAAATATTAGAGTGATAATTGCTTCTGCATTGCAAGGGAGCCCTACGTGAACTCATGTCTCAGCACCAGGCTCAGGACCTACCTTGACCTGGAAGGCATCGTGGCCCATCAGCTCCGCCAAGCAATCCACGCAGTCGTTGTAGCGGTGCCTCATCCACATCTTGTATTTGTCCTCAGCGCTGTAGTTATCTGAAGGGTGAAACACAGAGAAGTCTTGAAGGCTCAGGCCGGCCG